TTTCTCTTTTTTGGGGAATGACCAGAATTTCCTCCAACCTCCAGAGAAAGGCTGGGTCGCCTCTGTGGCATGCCGAACACCGCCGCAACGTCTCGAACCCCGAAGATCGAAGCGCAACCGTCCCTTCGAAGCTTCCGCCGCAAGCGAAGCGTCCGACGCAGGCCCGCGGCCTGTGAAGGCGCCGTCCAGCGAGAACGACTTGGTCGTATCCCCTGCGCTGTAGGTGATCACCTCCTGTGAGGACTTCAGACTCTTTTTTTTCATCCACCCACCAACCAGTTTTTTTTTTCATGGGTGGCTTTTCCCTGGTTGAAATGTGGGGAATCATCACTTCTGACCCCTTTTTGCATCAAGCCCTGGTTTTTTCAAAGGGGGGTGGTTTTGGGTGAGATGTGGGGAACCACTTTTGGAGGGGAACACCAAAACACCACCCCCGAAAATCTGGGGTCAACATTCGCCCGCAGAAGAAACAGCCTCCAACCCTCACAAAAGGAACAAGTCTTTTTCAAGCCGGTCTCATTTGAAGCCCGCACATGCGGGTCAGGGCCATCTCTCGTTCTCAAGCCGAGGCAACCGATTTGTTTGAACCGTGTCGGAGTGTCCTGTTTAGGAACCCCGCCTTTGGTTGGTGTCAAGCCAACGCCCCTTTGGTTGGCGTCAAAGGCCTGCCAAAAGGAAGGGCCGACCACTTCTGCAGGTCCCAGTGGAGACAGCCACCATTGGGCCCACCGCGCCTCTGACGGGCCGCTGCTCAAGCTCAACAGGACACCTAAGGCGCGGTTCTGTGTGCCATGGTCGCAACTCCTCTGCGCCAAGCTCCTTTTCTGAGAACCCCGTTCACTGGTTGCCGAGCTGGGGTCCTTGACCACAGCAAGCAGGTGATACCGTCTTTCGGAGAACTGACACCCAAAGAACACCACCCAGGTCATGCTACGTGGGAGACAACGTGTCTGCCTTTGCAATTAAGAAGCACACGCACAACAGCTCATATTCATCTCCAGGACGCAAATCCTTTGAATGGATGGCCAACACTGTTTCATCAGTGAAAGCTGCCGCGAAGTTGCCGTTCTGTTGAAGTCCGTTCATGTCAAATCCAACACATTTGCCAGGCCTTACAATGGGTAAAATTCTTAAGAACCTTCTGCACCCAAGGTAAGGCTCATCAAAGCTTCATGGATCTTGACTTGGCCATGCGTCAAAAGCAGGTACCCCAGTGAACATCCCATTCCCCAAAAAAAAACTAAAATGGGTGGTGAATTCACCTACCCCAAAATGGGATCCCTTTGGTTTTGACCCACAGCCACTTCACTTTTCCAGCCGCCCCAGTCTGACCGTAGCCTATGTGTCCCGCTTCCGAAAGCCTTTTTTTGCCCCCGAATCCCCGAAACCCTCACGGCCTCCGAGCACCAGGAAGCCCAGGGCGGTCAAAGTGGCACCTGAGAAAAACCCGACGGATAAATTCTACGCCACGCCTTTTTTTCTTGAGGGAGGTTGCCAGGCCCGGCAGAAGCCGATGAATACTGCCAAGCGAGTTTCTCTGTATGGCTCTGACATGTGGTTGTTGTGTGTTTTTTTTCTTTTCTTTTTTTAAGAAAAAGCAACTATTATTACTTGTTGTTCGCTTGCACCCATCTTGAGTGTGTTTTGTTTGAGAAACGAGAAAACCCGAGTGAGATTGTGGCTTCCCCTAGCTCCAAAAAGTTGCCCCGTAGATGAAAGGGTGATGTGACTTGCAGGCCCCACTTTTCCTGATGCTCGATTTCCTGATGCTCGAGTTCCCGATGCTTGGCCATTCACAGCCCACCATTTGTTTTTCCTGCGAATGCGCTGGAAACCGCTGCTTCCGCGCTCCGGAAGCCTTGACAACAAGCGCCACAGCATTGGAAAGGTGGCGGAGAAAAAAAAAGCAAGCCCTTCTATTCAAGTTACTCGAAACCATCTGATTTCGCCACGCCTCTCCGGACATTGCCTCACAATCCAAAAACCGGACAATCGACCGCCACAACCGACCTACCCAGTTTTGGCCGAAGCCTTGAGCTGCCGGCAGGCCACTTGAGGTATTCTAGTGTAACATCGCAAGCAAACAGTGTACCTGGCACGGCTCGACGGCTCGATGGCTTGATGGCTTGATCGCTTTATGCCTTGCCCGACGTTTTTGTGGTTTTCAAGGATGGCTTCGGTGACAGTGGCCGGCAGTCCGCCCGTTGAAAGGTCATCAGCCAGTCCAAAAGCAGCCACTAACTTTGACGGGCGTGGCTGTGCCACTAAGACTTTCTTGCAGAGAACGCTGGCACTAATGTCAACAAAACAGCCCCCAAGCACCCAAGCACCAACCCCAGCTTTCACATTGCTTGCCCTCAAACTAAATCTCTCGCGAGGCACCTGAAGAAAACAAGATGTCTCCCAGAAATGTATGCTCGTCAAGAGATTGTTGTAATTAGGATGCCCTTTGGGTTAGCAAGCGTGGGGCTCTGGTGCATCGTGCCGCAACGCAGGGTTCATCAAGATCTTCGTAGCCCTGGTGTTTTTTTCAGACCAAGCCCCACCAAACAGCGCGTCACGTGAATGGGGCGCTGCCGCGCTTTGGTGAGGGTGCACATGGAAGAAAGGCCGTCACAAAAATGGGCCCTCCTGGTCAATGTCAATGCCATGCCGCAGTACCCTTCCGGAAAAGTTGTTGCAAACTTAGGTTTGCCAGGCTTGCTGTACTCGATTCCGTGCTAAACCTTGCACTCCCAAATTGGAAGCATACAAACCGACCCCACCATTCGAGCTAAGCACTGCGGTCGGATTCCCAAAGCCCGCGTCGCTACGCCGCCAAAACTGCCACTCCTCCCCAAGCCTCGATTCTGGCTGCTGAAGCAGATTCCAAACACACCTCGCAGTCTCTGGGGGCAGAGTAAACTCTGGGTGCTTGGAGGTTGACACAAGGGAAACAGTAAACCATGCCTAGTAAACGACAGAACTGGCCCAGAGGTCTTCTAGAAAGTTGCCCCGGGTGAAAGAGAAAAAACATGAGGCAAGCCGCAAAGGCTTGGGTTGCCCTTCAGGTTGAGTTGTTACAAGTGAGTGATAATCAAAGCCCGGAATTAAAATGGTCGTAATCCCAGACCCACGCCCATTTATGGCAAGGTGTCCCTTACTAACCTTCAACAGGGATCCTTACACTATACACCTGGACATTGCCTTGTAAATGGTGGTGTCCCTTTGTTTGGTGGAAAACGCCATGTTTCAAATGGGCAAAATGTATCTTTTAAGGAGCCCTGTTCGTCAACGGGTTATGAGCACGGGCTCAAGCGGCAAGTCCGGTCCGTCGCCCCGCCTGTGGAGGCAGCCCTTCTGGGCGCTCTCTTCGGAGTCCCCTGAAAGCGCCGCGCGGAACCCCGCGGAGACATCACCCAACACTCCACGGGATCACCTGGACTCTTTCGAGTTGAAGAGATCTCCCGGCAGGCTGCGCTTCACACTGAAGTGCGAGAACGCAAGGGGCCCCGCCACAAAAACAAATAAGCTCAGGCGATATCCCCAACAGCACCACACCCTCCCAGAATCCTCGCGGGGCCCGCCCCGGGACCCACCTCACCACCGGTTTTGTTGAGGATGCCGCCTTCCAACTTTATAAGCAAAGCTAAGAGTGACAGCGCAATTGCGCCCTGATCGGGGCCCGACGGTGCAATCGGGCCCCGACCAGGGCCCGATGGTCCCGTGGCGCAAGCGGGCTCCCACCAACCCCAGCCACCCATATCATACCTCAACGCCGGCTTTCCTTAGGATGCGGCCTTACAACTGTATCTAGCAAAACTAGGCGATGCCAGCTTGGTACAGCTCACGGGGCCCGACTGGGGCCAGATCGGGGCCACGGCGCAATCGGATTGGGCCCCGACCACCCTACCCCGCAGCCCTTGCAGAACCTGAACCCTGGGTGGAACCCTGGTGGAACCCTGGCGGAACCCTTGTGAAACCTTGCCTCAAACCACCCCGCACCACCCTGCAGCCCTCGCACAACCTGGTGAAGCCCTGGTAAAACCCTGGAACCTTACCTCGGACCACCCCGCAGCCCTTGCAGAACCTGGTGGAAGCCTGGTGGAACTTTGGTGGAACCCTGGCGCAACCCTCGCGGAACCTTACCTCAGGGCCGCCCCGGACCACCCCGGAGCCTATCTGGGCTGAGACCCCAAAGCTTTCAGCTGTTGGGGAAAAAAGCAAGGCCTGCTGTTGCGAGCCAACAAGCTCGATACAAGAGGAGCTCGCCCTGTTTACTGTTCGCGAGTATCACTGGCTGGATGTGCAAAACATCCCGACACACTTCCTTCCGGTAGCTGGAACGCTGGTCCCCCCCCCCCGGCCCCTCCCAGCCTGGCGGTTTGGTCATCTGGTTCCCGATGGCTGGTTTGAGCCAACGGCCAAGGGTTTGTCCCCCGGTGGCAGGCGCCGAGCCGAAGAAACAAGGCCCCACGGCCCCCCGCCCCTGCTGCCCCCCTCCGAGGCTACGCCAAGTGCATTGGCAAAATCAGTTCCCAGACTCAATCCTCAAGCAGCTCCCATCCTCAAGGACGTGACAGTATGTGCCCTTTCCTTTGAGGCTTGGTCAGGTCCAGCAAAAAGGACCACCTTCACATCCCTTTCGTGGAAAGGAGTCAGCGTTCCATGTGGACTGGACCAACTGCAACCAGTGGAATCCATCTATATCATCTGTTCCCACCTGACCAAATTCCACCTGCAACCAGTTGGCATTGGTGCTTCATCCCATTTCAAAAATTTCATCCGAGTGCCTCGCGACATGGAACCCATGGCTGGCTTGCTGGTGCTCACCAGAGAATGGTCCAACGTCTTGGGAATGAACCGAGTTCCATAACCATAAACCCTAAAACAAACCTAAAACATGTGTTTATGGTGTTGGGAACAAGCCTTTGAGATTTTCAACCAAGCCATCCACAAATGGTTTATAGGCCTCATTCCCTGCTCAGCAAGCAAAGAAAGAAGATTCCTCCACTGCCCGCCTGGTCCTGCGCCACGCGCTCTGCGCGCAGGAAGAGCGCCGCGGCCCGGTGCTTCCTGCATCGGTCACACAAGCAAGAAACGGAAATTCGCCGCGCGTTTTGTGGGTGCCCGCCATGGCTGGCAATTTGCTTGGATTGCCTTTAAACGCGACCCAAGAGGGCTTGCCAGCAAAGGCAACATCCCATGTCGGCACCAAAGTATATGTATGCTCGATCATGTTCGATCATGATGGGATGGTGTCAAACCAACACAAACGCTTCACAAGGATTCGACTTAGCCTTCAGTTCATCGGCAAGCCTTCTCTCTTGACCATCTAAGCAGCCGCGTTCACGGCCAAAAAAAATGTTTAACAAACCTCAGGCCCAAGCTCCAAACCCGCGCCCTCGGAACCCGCAAGCCTTCCAGCGGCGAGGGCTTGCAGCCCAGCAGCGAGCGCGCGGCTTCCGGCACCTCGGAGGTCAGCCAACTCCCAGCCCCAGGCACCAAAAGAAGAAGAAAACAAAACGGCGCCGAGCCTGATCTTGGAGAACCCACCTCTGCAAGACCCACGCCTTCACGCCTCGCTCGACGCTTGCGGCTCAGAGCCAGCCGTTTCACACGGAGTTGCCATGAGCGCATGGCCCAAACATGTGGCTCACCAACGCCTGTGCATAGTCTATGCTGCCAGTCGTTGAGGCCCTATTGTGTGTGTGGAATAACACGCCAACACGCTGTCCACTTCCTGCGGAGCTTATTCATTTCTGTCGCCTTGTACAGTCTACTTCCCTCATCCCACTTGCTGAAGGAACCACGCTGGCTCTTGGCATCGCAGCATGAGATGCTCAATGCGAGAGTCCGCAACTGCAAGCTTTTGCCAGAAGGCTAGACATGACAGCTCAGAGGTTTGCCAGCGCAGGTAGCGGCCGTGGTGCAATGCAGGGTGGTCAACTCGAGTGACGTGCCAAGCGAGTGATGAATTGCAGCACTTGGTGATTGCAATCAGCATGGTCCAGCATGGTGTATCTGAATGTGTCGCTGTGATCCATCAAATGTCCGCTATGTTTGCTTGTTTCACGCACAAATGCCCACATCCAGCCGTCAGCCATCAGCGCCCGCTGAGCTGCCCACACTCCGGCACACCGTGAAGAAGTTCATTGGGCTGCCTGACCAGGTGCTCAAGCGCGCAGTGAGGGGGTGAGTCACACATATGCGCTGGTTATTCGACTCATCTCTCAACCATCCATCCCAAGTGATGCTCAAGTGATCCCCGGGCATTTCAACATGTCAGGGACTTATTTTACTTTGGTATGTGTCCAGCAACGCAACATCTGTAGCAGCACCAAGCCCTTCCTCCCCAAGCTCAGTGCTTCAAACACCTGATCGTGAGCAGTCGAGCTGCTTGAAAGGGTGTCCCAGGTGACTATAACGAGTTCCATGGGTGTTTGGATGTGTTTGGGCTTGCCACCAGTCCAAATCCCGTCCCATTGCCACCTGCGCTTGGACTGTGGCGCCCGGCGCCTCGCCGCCAGCGCCGCGCCTCTTCTTTCTTTCTTTCCGCTCGGTGCGAGACAGATCGGCTAGCACTGTGGCTGTGGAATCCCTTTTTGTTTTGCTTCAGGGACGCAGGCCAAGGCGACCCGACTGTGGTTTGGAGCCCGGTGGTTTAGGGTTCGAACCTTCAACCAGTGTCTGTTGAACGTAGCTGGGCTTCTTCGCAAACAGTGGCTGTTGGCGAGGCAGGGGCACTGGGTCGCACTGGTCGCACCAGGACCAAGGAAGGGATGTCATGATACTGTCTGTGGATGGACCAAAATGACTGGAAATGCCAACAATGGGGTTCCCGCGGAAACCAAAAAGGTGGTGCAGGATTTCGTCGATCCACAGCATCACGTTGATTCCAACCAGAACAAAGGCCGAATACTGAACACAGCGTGCGCTCCTGCTTACTGACCCAAAAGACAACTCAACATCAAACACAGAGAGAAGTCACCGCATGTCTCTTCAAGCAACAGAAAGGAAACCAATTTTATCTGGAAAAATGCTCCGAATGGCTATGAACTGGAACACGGAACCCCTTCCAAAGTGGTGGGTGGACATGGATCCCCACCGAATTTTGCTGTCCGCCAACCCGGGTCCCGAGAAAGAAGAAAAAACAGAAAAAGAAAAAGAAGAAAAGAAGAAAGAAAGAAGAAGAAAAACAAAAGAAGAAAAAAAGAAGAAGAGACAAACCAAGAGCTTCCTATGGATCACACACTCATTTGACAGAATGCCAGGTGCATCGCGCTCGCGACTGCGCGCCGCGACGAAGCCAAGGCCCCAGGCACCGGAAGCTGCGCCTGGAACCTCGGCGCGAGCCGAAGGTCCAGGAGACGCGTCTGACGGGCAGACCCAACCTGACCAAACCGCTGGCTGCCCAAACCGATTCTCGGATTGATTCTTGCTCGGATTCTCGGATCGGATCAAAAAAATGCGAGAGCCGCCCAGGGACCAAAATGTCCCATCCCCAAAATGTCCGACCAAAATACCCATGGTCAAAGCTGGGGATCCCTGGACGGGACATGGATCCAACCCCCCATGTAGGTTCCAATTTGCAGGGAACCCCCTGGGCAGACAACAGCCTGGTGCTGGCTGTGGGGGGAGCGCAAAGCAGCCCCTGCAGCAGCTGAATCGCCAGAAAGAAGAAAAAAAAAGGCGCCAACGCCCCAACCTTTCCGTGGGCCCATCAAGTGCCTAATGAAAATTGTTTGTGAATAAGGAGGCCAAAGCCTGAAGCAATGTGTCCACTCGAGGTGGCCTCTACTCTGAGAAACTTCCCCCGCAAATCAGTGGCTTCTTGTTCAGCACCTTTTTTGAAGCCTCAAAGCTCCGGCCTTCGAAAAAGACAACTCCTCTGCCTAAGTCAGACACCCAAAAGTGCAGCATCCTTGGGGGAGACCATTCGGAGCCCTTCACCTCCCTGGCCCCAACACGCCCCTTGGCCGCCCACCGCACAGTCGCGCGTCCATGGCGTCTTTGGCGCGGCTTCGACGCCGGACGCCATGAAGAAGCAGCGAATCAGCTTCCGTGGTTTGGAGCCCGGTGGGTTGGTGGATTGGATTCGGGTTCCCCGTGTGCAATCTCGAAAAGCCAGAGGTTAAAACCCCAAACCAGCAACTCGGGGTTTACCGCTTCGAGCCAAGGATGTGGTGCTCATTTTGCACCGCTCGGATTGCTGTCGCAGTGATACTTGGCTGGCAGGGGCCAAAAAAGTATCAACGGATGTTGAGCTGAATTCTGCTGAGTGCCATCATGCCATTCCTTGCATGGCCTCAAAGCAAGGTTCCATGTGGTTCAGCAAAAAAAGAAAGAACCTGACGGTCAAGTTGCAGGAAATCTCCCGCAGCAAGTTGAGTTTAGTATTCTAGCCTGGAGCAAGGTTGCCGAGCTGCTATGCATCACCACGACTCTGCGAGCCGACCCATGCCAAGGAAGTCCAGACCGACCGCTTCTGGGTCGAAAGGGAGAAAAAGCATGGATAAACACATGGGGGTTGATCAGTATTGGCCCAAAGGACCATGGGCAACTTCCCCCGCTTAGTGGGAAACACAACATTTTTGCTTTCAATGGTCAGCCTATGTATATCAGCACCAACATGTTTGAATGAGTGGCTTGCTGCTGAAGATGTATGGCGGATTCACCAAAGGGACCACTCAGCACGAACGCGAGCGTGAACATGGCGTTGGGAATCGGTGCTGCATCACTACTCCCTGAACAAGAGTGAGGTCTTGTGTTGGGTGATTTCGCCTGAAAGCGCGGCTGAAGGAAAGACACTTGAGCACCGCTTGCTTTTCTGTCACCAGCGCTGCTTCATCCACAGTGCCACCAGGTCATCTGGCGACTCTGTCGACCTGCGCGGCACGTTATCAAATGCTCCAGGCACATGGGGGTTGATCATTAGGTCCTTCCGGGAAAACCACCAAAAAGATGAGACTTCCCTCTAAATGGGAAAAGCTAGCCATGATCATCTCGGGGCCCTAGACGGAGTTTGGATCAACCCCCACATGTCAACTGACCTCTCTGATCCACTTGGAATGCTAGCAGGGTATGCGAACTCTAGCAGTGTTCCAGTCTTTGGCACGAGCTTGCTACGAGTAGGGGGTGATCCCCACTAAAGGGTGATAACTCCGACTAGATTCTGAAAAGTTACCCATGGTCATTTGGTTCCGGCTCAAAAACATGTACCCAAAAAAAGGTGCCGGCGCCCGAACCGACCCCTGTGGTTTCGCAGTCATGTCCACACCTTCTGCTTTGTAAATGATGATTTCGCCTCAGCAAAACGCAAATTGATGTCCAAACTCAGCAACATAAGTGTGCTGCAACCCTCACGACGGTGTTCTCTTTTTTCACGTTTTGTGCGTTTTGCTGAGGCGAAATCACTATTCACACACTCGTTCCTCGGCAAAGTCAAGTTTCTGACAGCTTTGTTTTCTCCCAGACCTTCTTCGTCAGATCTCAAATCTGGCTACTACGCCTTTTGGCACAAATCGCCGAGGCGATCAAACACGGGACGCTTCTGGTTGGCGCGCCGCCACTGGTGTGCTCGGAGATACTCCAGCCACACAGGATCCGGTGTGCTTATCATGTGCGTGACGAAAAAAGCATTGCTGCGCGCGTGCGGTCGAGCGGGCGCGCTTACCAACATCGGCAAGAGGCGCGTGGCGATTTGAGGGGCCGGCGCCTGACCATGAACTCAAACCTGAGAACAAACAAACTCCACAAAGCTGCCGACAGCAAAAAAGCTATAAACACAGGGGGCGGTTCAGGCGCCGGCACCAAAAACATGTACCCAATTCGGCCCCTATGGAAACAAAGACCAACACCTGCGCATTTTGAGTCACACCCATCAAATGGGCCCCAAAACGGAAGATTGAGCCACCCCCAAATGGCTGTGGGTCAACATGGAACCCTGGCAAATGGAAACATGGACGATCTAACCTGCGGTCCCCTAGAGGATTCATTTTGACCCCACCCCCAGATTCGTTCCAAGTCAGGTTTCGGCACCCAAAACCCCGCGCACCCTGCCTCGGCTCCGCCACGCCTGGAGCCGCAGGACGGAACGGACGGAACCCTCAGCCCTTCCCCACGGGAAGCCCAAATGAGATATGAAAAATATCAGGGACCCTTTTGTGGACATGTGGGGATTTATGTGCACCACTTTTCAGGAAACTCCCTACTAAATTTCATGGCCAAGTATCCCCAGCCCAACCCCCAAAACCTGGTGAATGGACATGCCCAGCCCAACCCCCAAAACCTGGTGAATGGACATGCTCTGCTTTGGGCGTGTTACTTCAAACCCAAGCTGCGCACAAGCCTCGCGCCAATGCACGCTAGACTTCTATCTGCCACGGGAGTGGTCGTGCAAAGATGTTTGAAAGAGTTCGTTCCATGCCCGACCTCAGTTGCCCAAAGGCCCCAGAAATAAAAGGTTAACCTTTTGGGGTCATGACTGAAAATGGACCAAAATAGGAAAACCAAAAGGTCAAAAGGTCGATTCGCTTTGGGCAAGTGAGCGACAATCTTACCCTGCGCCGCCAGGCCCTGGTGCCCGCACCAACCGAGCTCACAACCAAAACGGGTCCGAGGCACACGTCTCTTCGAGAGCGCGTTCTTCGCGCTCACGCTCGCGCCGCATCTGCTGCCTGGCTGGTGGCTGGGAGCCAGGCTTCGCAACATGGCTGTGGCTGTCAAAAATCGGGATTTCCCCCAAGTGGCTTGCCCTGGTAAATGGAAGGACGATTTCACCTGCGGCCCGATTCCTGGTTTGATTTTGACCCATAACGGGGCTGGAGGCGCCACAGCCGCACCCCCGACGCAGGCGGCGCCTGGCCGACGCATGAGTGCGAAAGTAGGGCCCGAAACCCTGACGAAGCCTTCGGACTCTTCTTGATCCTGGGAAAGCCACCCTACTGCCCCCAGGCCCCCAGTTCAGAGAGGCCCAAGCTATCTTCTCATAGGCCCGATGGCCCAAGTCTAGTGGAACCTGGTATTCTACCGCCTGAGCATTCTGGTGAAACCATCACGCATCCCCCGAAAGCCCGGGCCTCGGTTGTCACCTCAGCCAATGCTCAACTGCCGCGCGTTTGCCAAACGCTTGCCATGTTGAGAACAACGCACACAAAACCTAGCAACTCATCAACACAAACTACTTGTTGCCATGCTGTTTGATGTTCAACCTGCTTGCTGAGTCTCAGAATTTGCCCCCGTTGCCAACAGCTACAAGTCCGAGTGGATCTGAAGTTGATGGCGGATCGCTATAACTTCAAGCGAGAAAAACAACTGCTTGACTTGAATCGGCACACTTTTCTTCTCCGCGCGGCTGCATCTGAACGATCGGCGCTTCTTCAAACGATCGGCCACTCTGCGCCCCTTGCGCAGGCGCCTGAGCGCCAGCTGGCTCTAGCTACCGGAGGAATGCTGGCTTCAATGACTAAATCAGTCCGCGGTTCTGTGATTTCTGTCACTTCATGACTGGCATAGCGTCATTCACCATTGTTCCGTTTGTTAGTCAGAGTCTCAAGCAACTCAAATTTACGTTAAAGAAATACTGCACATTATCCCGTCGCTTTGCATTTGGCTGCCTCACGTCGCATTTGGCTGGCAATGCTGCCGAAGGAAGGTTTCCAATCTCATCCCACGGGCATCTTTTGTACAAAGCCCTAAACTTATGTCTCTGAGTTACTCATCTGCTCTGAATTAGTCACCTACCCAGCATCGCTAAATACAACTAACATGGTTCCACGCTTGGTAAAGCTCGCAGCCCCCACCCGATCCTAAGGTGAGGTCGAGGGTCCCACACTGCGGGGCCAGGGCCATATTTCGAGTAAAGGCAAGGGGTTTTTCAGCAAGTTCGAAGCACTGCTTCCGAACCACCCTGGAAGTTTAACTTTTAGTGGTTTAAATGGAAACTTCCACTAAGCACTAAAAGGATCTAAAAAGCTAAGGAACCGGATGGCTGGCTTCGCCACCTTCGCACCTTGCCATTTGCCTTTCCTCCAGCCCCAGGCGCTTTCTCAAAGACTCGAGCTCCTCCAGGCTCAGCGCTCAGCGCAGCCAGGAAGCGATGTCCTGCGAAACAGAAGCTGAAGCGGATGATGCGTGCAAAAGTTGGAGGAGGTTCCAACTTCCGGCGATGTGCAAGATGTGCATCAGAAATGTGGAACTCTCGGCTCGACAAGAGCCACTGACAGAAAAGAAGTCAGATGAACAGCATGAAAAGCTATCATGGTGGGAAGGAAGGCGACCTTACATGTGTGGATGTCCTCATGTATGTCACATCTGCATGTGCTTGTGTTGAAATTGCAATCCATGGCACGCCAATTTCAGGCTTCCAAAGCGCACGAAAAGCTTGGGAGGGAGCTCGCCAAGTCAGTCTTCGTTCGGACCCTTCAAAAAAAACAGGCCATGAGCACTCCGCTTGCCTCCGCAAAGCTGCCTTGCCCTCCCAAATTTCGCAGAACCTCAGACAGAGCTCTCTTTCTGGAGTCACTATGTGGACGGTTTCTGGAGGTTGTCAAAGTCAGAACATGTGGTTGTTTCCCTTTGACCCATCACTGAATGGGGGTGACTTTGATCATGGTAAAATAATGAGGCCAGTCTTTGGTCCGTGAGTTTCCTCCTGATCTTAACCCCGGATTAATAAACCCCTGGTTGATTAATAGGGGGCTGTCTCCTTTTAGTGGGGATTCAACATGAGCCCCACCTCTCCCAGCTCCCTCGCTCGGCTCCTTGAAGGGGCACTGCCGGGGCTTGCCGCTCTTCCCCAGCAGGTGCTTCTGCCGGGCCTCGTCGTAGCTGGGGTAGAGGTCGGCGCGGAAGGCGTTGATGGCCTGGGTGCCAGGGTGCCAGGGTGCCAGGGTGCCGTGAGGACGGGATTGAGAGAACTGTGGCCATGGCAATCGGCGTTTTTTAACCGCGTGCATAAGGTCGAGGTATGACTCGAAGGGTGTCACTGCACAAAGACACTCACGAATTGCTTTGAGTCGCAAGGCAAATATGTTGAATGATCCTGGAGAGTCTCATCCAGTCCGCAAGTACCTGTAAGGACCACTGAGTATACCTCTGTGTGTGTGTGTGTGGTGTTTTCCTCATTGACATGACCTCAGTTCTCCCCACAAGAGGAAATCTGCCACTGAGCGGGACATGCGAGGTCGACGCTACCCTCCGCAGCCAAACGTTGAAGCTTTGTGACAGCTGGGACATGCATTCCAGGACTGGCAAATGCTGGGAGCTCAATCAACAAGAATGGCGGGTCAGCCATCTCACCAATGGCGGGTCAAGTATCTCACCTAGCCCCAATGGCCCTTGCCTAGCCATGCATTCTTGTTGTGTGCCCCACTGCTGTTTCACTTCCGGGCGGACGCTGAGAAATGACAATTTCGAGAAAGTGGGAAGCATGGGAGGATGTCAAGATAGTCGTAGACACGGCAAAGCACCGGGTGATGAGTAGCGATGATGGCAAAGACACCACTGCGCCGCGCATCGCCCGGATTATCCACAAGCACCACAAACCGCAGCTCACCAAGGGACAAACAAACACCGCAGAATTTCAGGAACGCGCTTGTCAACCATCACTACGGCATGCGGGTATGGGTCAAAGTTAAACCACCAGGGGCCCGCAGGTTTCAGTCCTTGGTTCCATTTACCAGGGCTCCATTTAGGCCACTGCCATATGGCCATGGGTCAAACTCCCGTACCCCCAGTGAACATCCCCCCACTAAAAAAGACTAAGATGAGTGGTGCACCTACCCCAAAATGGGATCCCATTGGTTGTGACAACCACAGCCATGCGCCAAGACCTGCAGCTCTGCCTTGAAGTGCAGCCTGGTGGCTCCCAGGGGCGCATGCGGCGACATGGCCGGAGAGAAGAGGAACTCCTTGGAGTTGAAGGCCGCCTCAGGCGGGGGCTCACACCGAGGCAGACGCGAACCTCGATGCGCCATGATGAATACCACTGGCTCAACATGGCGGCCTGTTTTGCTCAAGGCAACCCCCCATCCGGTTGCAAGATACAAACAAACTGTTGTGAGGCGTTGCTTTCGTTTTCATCTGACCTTGGCCTAGCTGCGACAGGCAATGCCCCAATGTGTGCAATGGCACAGCCTGCCCCAGGCCCCATGTCGACAAGATCGGCTGTACATGCCGGGCCAGGGCAGCAGCAAGCAGGCATCAGGTGAGCGTCAAGTAAGCATGGACACAAAATCCCAACCTAAAAGGTGTTCACCAGAAAATCCCTAAATCAAACTTCACGTCCATTCCTCTGAACCAACCGCCACTCTTAACCCAAAAAAAAAAACGTTCGAGCCTGCAAGCCCCCAACCGCTCGAGCCGCCCGCCCGCCCGGCTGGGCGCCTGCTGCTGGCCCTGCCAGAGGCCTTGGCCCACCGCGTTGCCCGTGGTCACGGGAGACTGGAAGCTCTGCTTGGGGATCACCAGGCGGCCCATCTTGATCCACGGCGCCGAGGCCTGTCATCCCTCTCTCGAGCTCTCAAGACATGGAGGGAGGCGCTCTCCAGACGGGGGGGAAGGGGGCTACAAGCCGCTCTTGGATGGAGGGGGGGAGTGGGAGGGGGGGAAGGGGGGGGCGAAAGGAGTGGAACACTCAAAAACTCCTCACGGAACGCCCAGCTCGGATCTGGAAAGAGAAAAGTTCACCAATGTTGGGCGCTCGACCAAAACAAAAAATCAAAAGCAAAAACGAGAAAACCAGACAGCCAACAGATCGATTTGCTTTGGACTGAGAAAGACCAACTCCATGAAGAACAGCTGGCCCCTGGGCCCCTGGTCCAGCCAGCGTGCGCACTAAAATCTTCAAGGCGCAGTTCTTTTCGGTGGTTCCTCTGGGCTTTCTTGGCATTCTTGCAGGCATTTTGACCCTGGCATGCCTTTTTGCATTGCAAGAAAGGCGAACGTGAAGGACAGAAGGAAGAGCACTGACGGTCATTAAATGCCAACCAGACCAATCGGGGGAGGGTTTCCTGTGGTCTGCATGTGAGCAGCGTGCGCCAACTCGACGCAGCACCTCCAAACTGAAGCAGGGCCGACTCCAACGAAGGGAGATTCCAGTTTCGCACCGCATCCGGGACGTAACATCAAAGGCATCAGTTCAAAGTTGCTGATGCGCATATCATGAAGCGATACTGAAGGGTTGTGATGACGGTCACGTAAAAACGAAAAAATCCTGCATGGCAAACGTCCAGCCATCGCAAGCATGGTATTGCGCCCGTGTCTTCAGCCAGGATGCTGCCAACATGTCCTGGAAAAAATCCTCGCCTCATCCCACTCGTCCGCCGCGTCGTCAATGGAGTGCTTCTTGGGATCTGTCGCCACCTCAAGCAGATCTGAAAGCTCTGACCCAAAGGGACTCAGTGCTAGTTCAGGCCCATGACGAACACGTATGATGCTGGCCAGTTTGGGACCACTCGCCGAATATTGAGACTGGCCAGCAGTTTAACTGTCAAGTTTTTGCCTAAGCTCCAAGCAGCCTCCTGCACCCTCCGAACTCGGAGGTTGCCTCGGGCCCTCCCCCAAGTGGGGGTTATCCTCGTCAGTGGAGTATAACCCAGGTGTCTAAACCACTAAGCACCCTGCCCCTTTGAGTAGCGGCCCCGTTTGCTTGGAGCCTTCAAAAGGAAACCTTTCCGTGCCATCTGTGCAGAGGAAACCCTTGCCCCCAGTTCGGCGACTCCCGAATCACCGCATAGTGCACCCCAGCCGCTCTCCCGTCTCTCAGGTCTCTCAGGTCTCAGAGGTGTCTGGCCTGGATCTCGAAGTTGTAGGTCCAGGCCTTCTCAGACAGGTGTCCAACCGCCTGGTCCCGCATGGCCTGCTTGAAGCCTCGCGGAAAACTTCGGGGCTCCAAACCTCGGTGCCTTCTTGGGCCATGGTTTGTGTTTTGGGCCCGCTTTAAACAAAAAAGAATGGGCCACAAAGGATACTCTCAGCACTCACAATACTTGAAAGTCGTCTACGAAGGATCTATCATTCCCACAAAGGAAAATTATAATGCGCCCCCCTGTGCCTTCAACGGCAGCAGGGGCCATGGTTTGGGGAGTCAGAACCCCCACCACGAACAAGCCCGGCAACCGATTCCCTGCGATGCGACTCAATGCCAACCAAGAAAAACTGCCACTTCGCGAGTCCCAAACCCCTTCGCAACCAAACTCTCGCCCCACAGAAACGGACCCCATCTACGAAAATGGAAGGGACGGAATTTGGTTGGCGGCTCCAGTTTGCTGTTCGCCTCTCGCCTCCCTGAAAACCAAGGCGCCCTTTGACTTGATCTCCTTCTCCGCAGGGAACTTCTCGCGGGCCATTGCCGCCGTCTCAGGGAAGTGACTTTGCCATGCAACGTGGGGTGTTCTGCTTGCCTCCTGAAACGATTTCATCTGCCTCATCAGCCACCTATCTTGATCTACACTCAACCTCCCAAGCAAGAAGCATGGCTTCGTTGAATGGCTACCTGTGCAAAGGATGGTCTTGCCCTCTTTTGGGCTGTGAGCAGGGCATGCTCTGGGGTTCGGAAAGGGCATGCGATGAAGAATCATCATCATCGTCGTCATCGTCGTAGTCATCATCATCATCATCATCATCATCATCATCATCATCATCATCATCATCATCATCATCATCATCATCATCATCATCATCATCATCATCATCATCATCATCATCATCATCATCATCATCATCATCATCATCATCATCATAGCAGCAGCAGCAGCAGCAGCAGCAGCAGCAGCAGCAGCTGCATCACCTTGCGCGCCAATATCCAAACAGCTAAATCAGGACGAGCTAGAGGTTTGCACTAGACCCGCGAGATTCGAAGGCCTTCCGGACCGATCGCAAATGCAGGCAGGTCCGGACATACAACAAAGAGAGATCGAGAGAGAGCAAAAAGCAGAACCCTCGAGCCAAATGCCAGGCTAACCTGAAGGGCACAGCCTCCAGGCGACACCCACGCCCTGTGGCTGGACCAAATCAAACCGCACCAGGTGGAAACCATGGTTGAAACCATTGGAACTGTTGGTATTTACAGTGGAATCATCCGAAACCAGGGTTTCTGAGGTGCGAGAAACGGATTTCGCCACCATCCACCGCACGTCGCTGCCCCAAAAAAACTGCTTGCCGCGGCACCAGGCGGTACTTAAAGGCACCGGGGGTCTCCCCGTTGCCGCCACCGCCGATGCGCCAGGGTGTCAGAGAGTAGTAGTCCTTGCCTAGGAACTCGCCCGAAATGGGCGGTCCGCAAAATCGGGGGAACCCCAAAATGGGTCGCCCTGGTTAGTGAAACCTGTCCAACTCCTGGCTTTGGTTTGACCCATGGCGACCGCGTCATAGCTGGGCACTTCGGTCCACGCATCTGTCCCAACTTCGGTGACAGGAACGTACCGAAAAGCTGCGATGAGCTAGTCAATACCACCAATCTGAGCAACACGTCTGGGACTGTCCGGGAAACGTCCACGATCCACACGCATCGCCGCGCCCTGTCAAACTCCTTCTGTGGGTCATCCTTGTGATACAGTCTGGAGACCCCATGCCATCACGTAAGACTGTCAAACAAATGGTTTGACCATTGCACAAACACATATCACAAATATATACAAATATGTAGAGTTCGTCTGAATGCTCACCTGCTCGATGTCTTGAACGCGCCCGGCATGAGGTCTGTCGGGCAAAGATGGCCCAAGCAAGCTCAGCAGAATGACTGGTCATCCTGTTTGGCAAGGGCGGTGACAGCAAACAAACGACGTGGCTCGTTGCATCCAAAGCGCTCACCGCGGCATAGACCTGACTGGCGGATTTGTACTTGAAGGCCGTCTTCAGGCCGTTCAAAGTCACTTGGCCCATCTCCAAGGGATACCTAGTGCTTCGGAGTGAGTCCGGAAGGCGCCAAAGCAAGTGACTCCCCAATCTCAGATCTCTGTTTTTTTGTTTTTACTACAAGAAACTCCACCCCCACTTCAACCCCCATTCTTCCCAGACAAAAAAGAAAGAAAGAAGACAACAAAGACACTTCAACCCCCATTCTTCCCAGAAAAAGAAGAAGAAAAACACTTCAAGCCCCTTTCTTCCCACAAAGAAAACCTCCCACTGCAACCAGTTCCAAAGCCGCTACCCGACACAAACCCCCCTCGCTTTTCAGCTCCTGTGGCCACGCCTCAGCAGCGCTGCGGCCTGGCCGTACTTCACCCCGAAGGCGAAGGCCTTCAACTGATCCTGGCAGATCCACACGCGCCTGGAACATGCCGTGGATGGCTGCGAAATCCGTTTCGCACCTCAGAGAGTTTCTGGTTTCGGATTCGACTCCCCTGTAAATACCAACAGTTACAATGGTTTCAACCATGGTTTCCAAGTGGTGCAGGATTGCGTCCATCCACAGTAGGTGTCCTTTTGGAGGGAAGGATATATTTTTCCCTGGTAGATGAGTAAACCACCTGGTAAACCAGGAATCGCCATCTAGTCTTTGGCCAAAACAGCCAAAAAGGACACCTATGACCTGGAATTTGATCAAAAGGCCCTTGATACATCGATACATGGAATGACCGTTGGATGGAAAACCACAAAACAGATGAGATATGTCCCACGAAAAGGCAAAAGCTTTACCCATGGTCATTTGGCTGGAGGAATATAGATCACTCCCCAAACTTTCGAAGGAAACTGTTTGGAGGGGCATGCTAATAGATATATTTCACAAACACTGTTTGGAGGGGCATCCCAATAGATATATTTCACGAACACACTGTTTGGAGTTGCACACCATTACATCTACTTCACAAACTCGGAGTCATCGAAAATACAACGATGCACCTGGGCATGTTCTTCTCAGATGGTGTTGCATCAGCACCAGACATTTTTTGGCCAGTGGCAACGTTGGCAACGTGCCCCTTGAACTGGACCCCTGAAACCGGGCGCCTTGGTGCCAATGGGGAAGGCGTTCAGCGTCTCTGTGAAGGTGAGGTCAATCCTCGGGTCCAATGAAAGACTGTGCCCGGGTCCCACGGAAGAAATGTTGCTTTGCTCACCTCTGGCACTCAAGAAACCCTGAACTGCCCGCTGTTCCCCTGAATGGGCATCCACCATTTGCTACCATCTTCTTGTCGCGACTCTCACCCGATGAAGGCCGTTGGGAAGAAGATGCCCATCGTCTCCCCCCTCCGTCCCACCACCCCCCCCGTCGTTTTTCTTCTGCGCCCCAGCGTCTCACCCTTCTCCGCCCCAATCTTCAAGGCGTAGCGCAGGAGGTCCACACCCACGGCCTCAACTGGCCGCGCCCGAATTTGGGGACCTCCGTCTTCACCTCGCAGATGTTGCCTGTCTGCCCTGGATATGCCATGGATCAAAACCCCGTACCCCCAGTGAACATCCCAATCCCACTAAAATGGGTGGTGCACCTATCCCAAAATGGGATCCTATTGGTTTTGAATCATGGCCATATTTAGGGATCCGCCGGGAAAATGTTCGGGAAAATGCGCCAGCACCGGCCTGGGTGTGGGACATGCGCAGCATCACCGGCCACTTGGGGCACCCCTCCGAAGGGCAGGGCGTGAAGAGCCCGCTCTGGAAGGCCTGGCAACCGCAAACCCGCAAACCCTCCGAGCTATGCCCGTGTCAGCATATGATGCTCGAGAAACCAGCTCCGACTTGAGACAGAGCGTGAAGTGGAGGAAGTCGTTGACAACATTCATAGCAGAACTCCCACTCACGGGCTGCCTTCAACATGAAGCAGCATATCTTCTGTGACTAGTCGGATGCAGTGTCCTGCAAAACATGGGGGGGCTACCTCCTGCCTCCTGCCTCCACATAAGCCATGCAACAAAGAACACAGATGTTCGTGACGATGACAAACGATTGGAACGTGCCGCGACTCTCACACAAAGGCAAGAGGAGAAGAGAGCAGGAATTAACTTAAAATGCATTGCTCACTCTGATGGTGTCCATTGCACCCCGACCGCCCAATATGCTCAACCAAAGATTGCAAGAACCAGGACCAACATCATTTTTTTCCTCCCCCTAGTGTCGTGGATGCTCCTCAGGCAGCTTGCTCAGCTGATCAGGAATCATCTCCTCAGTGGGATCTGATATAGATGAGTGGTATGTCTCGCAAAGCTAGGCTGGCAAACTTCCAAGGATCGAAACATGTGGCATCAATGTTGCCATGGCTTGCTCAGCGCATGCACAAGTTGACAGTCATTCTTGGAATAAAAGGAACACTCCTCCCCCCCCCCTCTTCCATACCGGGTACATGTCTTTAGGACTGGAATGCGTTTTGAGGATACGAGCGCCTTTCTCCAAACGCACCGTGCTGCCTATGGAGAAACCCGACAGTTCAAATGACATGCTTGGCCTGTTCGCGCTAAGCCTAAAGATTCAGCACACCGGTACCATAGGTGCTCCTCTCAGTCATGTGATGTTAGCAATTGGTGGGGGGGGGGGGGGGTCCGAGGATTATTTAGTTTATATAGGGGACCCTCCAGACAAGCTCTTAAACATAGAATGCTGCAAATGGAACAACAAGCCCGTCTCCACTGGACCCAGTCTTCCTTCAATCTAAGCATCCTCACGCAGGTCTTCATCCGTCAAAGATGCCCTTCACTCGCAAAAAGCAACCAGCGCTCCCAATGTTGGCCCCTTCCACCGCCACCTTCAAACTGACCCCGTCCTCACATCCCCCCGAAGAAGGAAGAAAAAAACCGGAGACACAGTGACCCGCTGGAGCTTCCGCCACAGCTCGAAACAGAACTTCGAAGAGCCTCAGGAACCGGATGCTCTCGGAAAGCTCCAGCTCTTCTCTTCCATTCGACTTCGCCCCGTTAGAGGAAACGGTTTGGAGGTGGGTTTTGGTGGTTCCACCCCTGTAGAAGGTTAAAAGAGTACTAAAAGAGTACTAAAAAAGGACCAACAGGGGGAAGAACAGGTGAAATCCACAAAAGGCGCATCCAAACCGTTTCCTAGACCGCCCTTTGTGTTTGTAGTTCCAAGGAGACTTCGCGTCAAGCCCCAGGGGCCATCTCCGCCGCCACCAGCGCGATGGACTCGCCCTCGCCGATGGGGGTGCCCTGGTGGTCGTCCACCTCCACGCCTCCAAGTGGGGGGGGGGGAGGGTGCGGAGGGGGGCCGGAGGGTGGAGAGGGTGGGTCGGTTGGGAGTGGGGGTGGGGAACTGGAGAAAAGCCAGGTTGCCTCAGTGGTGAAAGTGGGTTCGCAGAAACCCACGAAAGTGTTGATCATGAAATGACTTCCGGCAAGCCAAGCCAGGCTTGCCCAACCACCACAAAGCTCCTGGCTTCAAAGCGAAAAAATATGCCCAACGATCAGCTTCCAAACCGAATTCGCACAGGCCTACACATGGTCTTGGGTCAAAATCCGGTACCCCCGTGAACATCCCAATCCCCACTAAAATAGGTTCTGAAATGGGTGGTGCACCTGTCCCAAAATGCCATTGACCCTCAGCCACATGGCTGCGTCCCATCCTTCCCCCGAAGCAAGGCTCGCAAAACCTCTTGACCTCTCGCCTGTGGGCAGCTTCTCCATGGCTTCGGTGAGCCACTGCTCCCAGTCTTCGCCGCCATCCCACTGCTCCACACCCGGCGCCGTGCCTCGAGGCACGACTCGGATCGAGTAAAAGCCCCAAGTCACATGGGCGAACCTCGTGCATTTGACGGTCGCAGAGGTACGCTGCACACTGACCCTGCTCATGGATCATATCAACTAAGCCTGCTCATGGATCATGGGGTGGTGGGGTGGGGTGGGGTGGGGTGGGGTGGGGTGGGGTGGGGTGGGGTGGGGTGGGGTGGGGTGGGGTGGGGTGGGGTGGGGTGGGGTGGGGTGGGGTGGGGTGGGGTGGGGTGGGGTGGGGTGGGGTGGGGTGGGGTGGGGTGGGGTGGGGTGGGGTGGGGTGGGGTGGGGTGGGGTGGGGTGGGGTGGGGTGGGGTGGCGGGGTGGGGTGGCGGGGTGGGGTGGGGTGGGGTGGGGTGGGGTGGGGTGGGGTCGGGTGGGGTGGGGTGGGTGGGTGGGTGCGGGGGTGGCACCCGCGCAAAGTAAGTGCCCGGTAGCTATCGTTGGCCCGACACCAAACGGACCAAATGGGCATCCGAAACCACAGCGCAACGCGCCCCAAACGTGAGTGGGGAAGTGATGTTCATCAACAAATTGCACTGGCAGCTATTCTGAGCCCATGGGCCCATGGGGGCCCCGTTTCCTCAGGCCATGGGGTCCCCACTCCAAACAGCTCCCCCCACTGCCTGCCAAATATGCCTTGGCATCCTTCGACAGGCCAGGGTGATCCACATAGTCGAGGCCTTTCCTTGGCACTTGTGGCCAAACATCGGCACAATGCTCGCAGCTGCAAAAGTGCTGCGAGCAGCCACACATGGAACAATGAAGCACCGTTTGGTCAAATTCGCCCCAATTCCCGCGCAAGTGGCACAACGAAAACACAACCAGAGTCAGTGTCCACTCGACTGTCAGTGCTCAAAACACTAAGTTCCACCAAAGCGCTGAAGCCACTCAGATTCATCTGGCAGCGGGCCGGCCTCCGCAGCCAGCTCCGAGTCAGTGAGGAAAATTTGGCCTGTCGCGAGGGAGCGAGCCCTTGACCCCGCAAGTCGCCGGCATGAACGTCGGCATGTTGGCATGTTGGCATGTTGGCATGTTGGCATGTTGGCATGTTGGCATGTTGGCATGTTGGCATGTTGGCATGTTGGCATGTTGGCATGTTGGCACAGCATCACTCCTCTCTCGGCAAAACATTGGAGGGCACAGCGGTGGTGTCAAAAAAAAAAAGCCACCTACAACCATCCCAAAGCCACCAGAGCACTGGGAAGGCCACCCCGCAGCCGAGTGGCCCTGGCTGCCCACAAACTGGGCAGCGACCAGTCCACAGCGCCACATGGCGGCAATCGGTCACGCGGCCGAAGCTGAAGTCGCTGCAAGGGCCGAAAGAGCTGGTGCCAAGGCCGCTTCAGTCCACGCCGCAACAGGCCGATGGAATTCCTCGGGCTTCGTGCAAATGTTTCTGTGGGTCAAAACCAATGGTACCATGTTCCACCCATTTTAGGACCTGTTTTAGTGGGGATTGGGTCCCGTTCACGGGGTAACTGGGAGTTTGTCCCGTTTCAGCCCGCCTCTACTTGGGGTTTGGCAGCTCAAGCAGTGGGTTGGCTGCCTTTCGGCTTCCCTGACCGACCGTCCAAGAGGGGTTCCCCAATTTGAGAGAGTTTGCCAAGTTGAGACACAAACAAACAAACAAAAACACATTTCTATATATACATATATATATATATAAACAAACACAGAAACAAACACACACGCACACGCGCACACACACACACACACAGAAAAAAGGAGAAAAAAAAGGCATCAACAAAAACACATCTATACAAATATCATATAGAGACATAATCGGATCAGATCGCAAGGCTCCAGCCACCGAACCGGAGGCCATCCGAGGTCGGCGCTTCCGGCTCTTCTTCCGGGACCTCCTGAGCGATGGTCTCTCGCCCGGATGGAAATCAAAGTATAAACCGCAGTGAAATCAAAGTGCTTTGCCGCGGTTGGACGATAGGAAAACTTGAATCTGGGCAAAGACAAAGAACACGCATGAGGGGGGGGAAGAAAAACATGACTCGGAACGAGCGTGTGGTGCTAGCAAATACCCGTGTTCAAGTGTTTGACGCGCTGCTTTGGAACAAGCTGGGCAAAAGCAAGATTCCGAGCAACAAGGGCGGGCTCACTTACCCAAGTCGAGCAAACCAAGAATTAGACGAAGACATGGTGGAAACGTTCCTCCCAGGTTGGAAAATGCCCAATTGAATGTATAGAACCGCAGCATGGCTAGTATCACGCCCAGTTCAGGCTGTATCACGGCCATGACTGACCTTTAGAAAATGAGAAGTGGCTGAAGCCCAATTTCACCAGCTCTTGCACCCTGTGCGTTAAAGGTTTTCGCACCGCACCCAATTTGTGGACGCACGTTCCTGCACGCCGAACAGCTGGGTGGCCAAGTCCGAGATGTCCAGACCTTGCGGCAAGGAGTCTGCAGGGCGCTGGGCGTTCGAGAATGGAAACACCCGGCACGACGGGCTGGAAGCAAAGGATCCAAGTGAACCCCCTTTGATGCATTTGATGCGAGGGTTGAACTTCCCACACACCGAGGCTTCTTCCCCTTGCTTTAAACTGGTGCCAACAGGTGCTTCAGAGTGAAAGAAATCCAACGCGGCTCCAAAGGAAACATCACAACCCATCACTCCCCAAGGTAGAAAAAGCAGGAGGCCTCCGCTGCCGGATGTGACTTGAGCCATGCATGACAAACATAAACTCTCGGCTCGCCAGCCACCTCCAGAGCTCGCTTTTGCCAACACCAAAGGATCCCTTTGCACCTCGACAAGCGTCGGCCTACAAGTTCATCCTTCTGCCAGTGTGCAACCGCGAAAACACGACAAACAAACAACATAGACTACAACTGATGAGCATCTAGAATGGGCGGCTTGGCTTATGTTCATCGTCCAACCTAATAACCTTTCCACAGCGAATGTGAACCAATGCCGGTTGAGCCTGAGCCTAGTCGGAGCCATATTTGTTGCTGTTATTAAAGAAAAGACGAGGCCCAGCTGGGCACTCACCTTCACTGCGAGGCCCAGAAAACCACCCGCCTCATTATTTATTTGTTATATATTGTTTTATATATATATATATATATATTTAAAAAAAAAAAAAAAAAAAAAAAAAAAAAAAAAAAAAAAAAAAAAAAAAAACGAGCCTCCGCCCGCCCAAAAAAAGGTGAGCGGCCTGGGCCGAGCTCCTCGGGCTCCTCTTCCGGCTCCTCGGGCTCTGCGCGCAAGCTGGAGACCTTCGGCCGGCCGAGGCGAGCTGGAGCGAGCTGGGGCCGACGAGGATCGACCCGAGGAAACGACAGAAGGAAACCGCAAAACTGTTGGCGCGGCTCCTGGGCTTCGAGCCATGGCTTGCGATGGCTTGCGATGGTGCTGTGAGATTGCGAGCCTGTTCCAAGCGGTGGGGAACCGGGTTTGCCTTGTCCGCTGACATGGACTCCCTTGAAAAGGGTTTCTACACTACCAGGGGGGCTGCTTACTTCTCCCACAATGGAAAAGGCCAACCATGGTGGGGACAGGGGGTTCAGCCGTACCACTTGTAAAAACTGGGCCACCGCGCCAGTGCCTGCGCCTGCACGGCGCCCGCAGGGCGCTCCGCCTGAACGCCCAAGCCATGGCACGTCTTAGAAGAGGTGTCCTTTTTGGAAAATAGATCACCAGGAATCGCCTTCGTTTTGTTTTTTTAGCGAAACAACCAAAAAGGACACCTATGCTTAGCTCCGCGAATTCGAACGGCGGAGACTTCTGAAATCCCACACGAGAGTCGGAATCAAAACCTGGTACTAAAATGGTCGCAATCCCAGAGCCATGTCAAGAATGAACAAGGCGGCTGGACCCATTTATGGTTGGGATTATCCCTTACTAACCTTCATCTACCCGGGTTTTGATTGTGGCTCACGTGGGTCCAACTTGGGACCCACTCCACCCCACTCCACCCCACTTCATCCCATTCGAGCCCACCCAGCCTACAAACCCACAAACCCACCCCACCCAACCTAGCCCCATCCCACACCATGATTCTCACCCATCAACCGCCATCCCATCCAGCCCCATCCGTCCCAAGGATATGTTTGTCCACACTCAACAAGAAAATCGCACATTGACGAGCATCACACGTTGGACTCCAGATCATCTTGTTGGTGAGTGGTGAGTATCCGGGTTGATCTGCACTCCTAATTTGCGCCAGCACTTGTGTCGTGACCCCCCCTCTATCAAGCAGCAAAAACTGGGGACCTCTTGCGACATTGGACCTGTTGTCTAATTGCGCGGTTTAATCTCACAAAGCCTTGCCCCAAACTGCACGTTGATCGTGATCCAAATGTGACTGACATTGCTAAACTAAAATACTCGAAAGAAGAATAACTTTGTAAATGTGGGTATGGGTCAAAATTAAGCCACCAGGGGATCGCAGGTTTTTAGTCCTTGGTTCCATTTGCCAGGGTTCTAGTTTGGGGTTACCCTATTCTTGACCCACAGTCATGTGTTCAGTGAGATCTTCCCCTTCTCTCCCCTCCCCCGGCCGCAGGCAGCAGCAGCTGTCTCTTCTCTTCCTGACTGGTGGAGATCCGCCTGCCCAAATCCAAGAGACACGGCGCGTTTTGGTTTTCAAGCACAGCATGCACAGCATGACCGCATGCATGTTCAGAAGAGCTCCGCTGCAGCAAATCTACTGTCATACTTTGGATGGTTGCGAAATCCTGCTTCTCGGACTCGCACCACCTCAGAGACCCTGGTTTCGGATGATTCCCCTGTAAATACCAACAGTTACAATGGTTTCAACCATGGTTTCCACCTGGCGCGGTTTGAGGATTTGGTCCAGCCACAGTACCACCCGAAAGTCTACTGTCATCCCAGCCTAGGAATACGTACCACCCACGTCCCGCCTCTGCCCCTGGGCTGGCGCAGCCTAGCGATGGGCACCGGTCAGTTGGAAGACCAGCGAGTGCAAGTGAGTCACTTGCTCAAAACCTGGTACAAAAATTCCGTGAACCCAGAACCATGTAAAGAATTAGAAGGCGGCCGCAACTATTTCCGGCTGGGATTGTCCCTTACTAACCTTCATCTACCCAGGTTTTGATTGTGGCTCAATTGGCAGCTACTCAACTGCATACCGTTTGACGGCGGCCAGTGCAATGAGTTTGCTCAACCAGCCGGCAAAAACCATTTCAAAGCAGGCTATAACACATTGGCACATGCATGGCACCTGTCTCGCTCATCAGCCCCATCCCACAAGCATACAAGAAGCTCGTCCTCCTCGGTCAATGACCTCGATCAAATTTCCCGGAAATGAAATATATATATATATATATATATATATGAAGAATCAACTCACATGCTACTATGACCAGCCATGGGAATCATGGCGTGCACCAAAGAAAGCAATGGAATCATGGCCTCGCACATCGCCGCCCAGCCTCCGGCTGGGCCGCTGCCGGAGGCGCCGGAGGCGCCGCCGGCGCCGGCGCCTGGGCTGCAAGGAGAAACCCACAGCGGACAAGACGAGCTGATGGCGCTGGATGCTTTGGCTGAAATCCAAATGGGCTCTCGAACTTGTGGCCCATGCTGGTGAGACTGCAACTCTGAAATGAAGGGGCCCGTTTTGGCTGGCATTCAAGGAAAAGCAAAAGGCGAACCAACAATTTTGTGGGGTCCCCTATTCAAATCACCCTCAAACGAACAAAAGCTGCAGTGCATGGACCATGCCCCAACTCCTCCCTCTCTTGCCTCAGGGCAGGCTTTGCTGAGGCCGGTTTGCTTGGCCTGGCACGCCATTCAGGGTTGTTGACGTCTGAGCAAGCAATCCAAAATGCACCTCCAAACCTTATACATCATATAAAGTGTTGTGGTTGTGAGTGTTTCTCTTTGAAGTTGTCCCTCGGGTGCCTGATGCACACAGTCAACAGGACGGGACAGAAACTTTGAAGAATCACCCACTTCCCACAAACCGAACCTTCAATGTCCCAACACCTCAACAAACAGTTGGCCTCAGCAACCAAAACGCCTCCATGTCTTTGAGAGACCCACATACATGCCAATCACATGCTCCTGGCGCTTGTCGTTTTTCCACGGGTTTGTCAACCAACCGCTGACAAACCCACGCCCGCGCCAGCTGCATAATGTTAACCCGGATTAATAAACCCCTGGTTGATTAACACGGGGGTGTCCCCTTTTAGTGGGGACTCATCACTTTTGGAGGGAACACCCCCCTAATAATGGGACGGGTATATTAATCCTGGGTCAACATTACCCGGCTCCCACCTTGCCATTCAAGAAGCCCTGCTTCAGGCCTTTGAAGGCTGGATTTGCCGGGGCCTTGGCAGGGGAAACGACTAGA